CCAAGTACTTATAGTGTTATTATGATTATTTTTAAAAAGGTGTGCAAGTGGGTGTCGCTCTGCTTCACAGTAGGTTACAAGTGGGTCACTTTATAATGGATGGTATTACATTTGAATTCAATGATATTATATCATGATTGTATAAGAAAAACGATTCTGAGCGGAGACGGTATGTCCTTCTAGGTATAAGACATATTATATACTTATCTATGGTATTAAAAAAAATGACCTATAATGAATTCCAAATTAATCATATCACAATATCCATTAAGTACTTATAACGCGTTATACACCAACAACAAACCCTGATACTATCATAAATACCTATATAGTAGTATACTTTAGAAGTTTCAAGTACCCACGATTAATATTATAAAATCACAACAAAATAACTAAAATATTAATATAAAAGGTGGGCAAGTGGGTATCGCTCTGCTGTACAGTAGGTTACAAGTGGGTCACTGTATAATGGATGATATTAAATTTGAATTCAACGATACAATATCATTGTATAAGAAAAACGATTCTGAGAGGAGACGGTATGTCAGTCTAGGTATAAGACATATTATAATATTATATACATATCTATAATAAGGTACCTATAATAAATTCCAAATTAATCATATCACAATATCCATTAGGTACTTATAACGCGTTATACATCAACAAAAACCGTGATACTATCATAGATATATGTAATAGTACACTTTAGAAGTTTCAAGTACCCACGAATAATATTATACATTCACAACAAATAAGTAAAATAGTTATTCTAGGTTTTTTATTATGTAATTTTGTCCAAATTTGAATTTAAAATGTCTGTAAAAAATAACTGTGTTCATATATTTTTTAGATTTTTTGGTTACCGTATGAGCTATTTATGAGAACCTTTGTTTTAAATTATTTTTTATCTGCCTTTGAAACAATATACTAGGAGCCTTCTATTAAATTTTCAAGCTTTCGCAACCAACAAATACATTTTTATTGATATTTTTAGAAAAAAAACTAAAAAAAAAATGGAAAATGAAAATGTGCCTAAACAGTTCAAAATAAATCAAAATATTTTGAAAATTTTATCGTGTATAAAAAATGCAAATATAAACAACCAGTGAAAATTTCATGAATATACGTTCATTTGTTTTAGAGTTACACCAAAAACCAAAATCTATTTTGCGTAAAAATTCCCGTTTTTCCTTAATTTTTATGTTGTTTTTCCCGGCGCTTGTGAAAACTACTGGGAATTTTTACTTTTGACCCACCAAAGTACCAACTAGTTTCACTTTCCTATCAGAAAAGATACTGTTGAAGAAAATCCAAGCACTTTTACTGTCCTAAAACGTGATGACAGACACACACAAAAAAAAAAAACACACATTATTGTAAAATCAATACATTCATCGTTTCACTCAGAATCTAAAACAAAATTCAGAATATTATGAAAATAATATAATATTTGGATTGGGTTATTTCGATGGCCAAATAGCCGGGCGGTTGTCCTCGACAGAACGGTATCGCCGTATCGGTGTTTATTATAGCAGTGCATTTTTTAAGCTAGTAAAGTGGGGCGACATAATGTCGCCTAGTGAAGATATTTTGTCGCCTAGTTGACTGTATTTTTAAAGACTCAACATTTATTAAAGAAGAATTTTCATTCTATTTAAAAAATAAATAATTAGTAAATACTTAATGGTAACAATACATTTTGTAGGTAGGTCTAGGTACATATAACAATGGTCATAATATTATCGATATGAAATACAAAATGCATTTATTATTGTAGAATATGATAAAATAAATTATATTTATAACAATAAGCATAAAATTCCAAAATGTGTAAAAATAGCCACCAATAACGATACACGAGACGACTGCGAAGCGCGACGGACGACGGTTCACGGTATGTCGGTATTGTCAATAATATTAATTTATATTTTATAGTTATTTAACATTTGCCTTGCATTGTGACGACTGACGACGTTCGTAGACCGTGGCTGCGTGGCAATAAAAAGAATTTTTATCGATTATTAACTAAAATCAAGAAATGCGATAACTGGTAAGCAGTGGTGGATCTAGGGGGAGGACAAATCACTTCCCCCCAAAATCGCTGTAGTTTTCCTCTGTTTTACACCGCGCTTAGCCAATTTTGTAGCCAATTTCAATTGTAACTTTTTGTACTTTGGCCCACCCATGTTCCTCTCAAAATTAAGCCCTGGACCCGCTGGTAAGTACTTTAATAACTAGCAGAGATAAAATAAAAGTAAATTGGATGATTTTGATTGCCTAGGCCCTAGATTAGTAGAGTATAGACATTTTAATTATATTACGTATACCAAATACATAATAGTATAATTGGTGTGGAAGTTGTGCATCGGGTCGTCTTGTGGAAAAACTGAGGGGCGAGTCGATCCTGTGGGGTCCTTATATAATATGATTTTGGTGTAATCCCTTCTTCTTTCACCTATTGATGTGTTTATGATTTTGTCGGCTGTGGGTGAGTTGCGGCCCGGCGTGTCGTTTCCGGTGTTGGAGACCGGTGAATTGCGGCCCGATAATATTTTAGCTATAGGTGAGTTGCGGCCCGAAAAATTATCATTATCTATGTACCTATTGGCTAGTAACTACATTATGTACGATGTATCTGTCAGATAGCTATACATATAGTGATAAACGAATTGTTCGATACGTATGGCAAGTTATATAGCAATACAGCCTGCAGAAAATGACCAAATTGTGAAATTTACAGACTACATTTTTAAAAACTATATTTCTCCAGACGCTATGTTCTCCCCAAATATTTGGGCACAATTTACTGCTAGCTGCAACCGTACTACTAACAGCTGTGAAAGTTTTCATTCAAAACTAAATATGTCGTTCTACACTAGCCATCCTAACATTTATAACTTCGTTGAAGTTCAATCTGAAAAAAAACATAAGATTCAGAAGTAAAAGTGTAAGAACAAAGAAAATGTGTGAAAAAAGAGCTTTCATTAGAGAGCAGATGACAAAACTCGAGCTAAAAGAAATAGATAATTTTGAATTAGTTAAATCGTTAAGTTTCAAGTTTTTTCCAAAACAATAGAATATTATTATCATTATATATTATATTCTAGAAACGCAAAATATTATTAGTTAATTTTTTTTTTTTTTATATTCTTGAAATGACAAATATTAATAATATTAGACAATACTAGAAAATACGTAATATTAATAAATTTATATTGTGATGTTTATATACATGTACGATGTACTATGTATAGACTTTAGTATATATTATATATTATGTAGTATATAGATTATTGTATGGCCGCAATTCGTACGTACCTCTCATAAACCCGGGCCGCAACTAGTACGCTATTTAGGGTTTGGGCCGCAACTCACCAACACCGATTTTGTCTTCAGCGGTATGACAGTGGGGCCCCTGGTTATTTATTTTGTTATTATGTTCCAACGTCTTGATCGGAAAATTGACGACGGGGTCTTGAAGTAGGTATATGAGTTACAATGCGGTGTAGTCTGGTGCCGTTGATAATTGATGATTTTGTTTTTACTAAGCGTCTGGTTGGAGAGGTGTTGAATATTATTTAATATGTTTTGCATGTGTCGTGTGTGTGTACGAGGGCGGCTAAATATATGCCTAATGCGTATATATGTATATGTAGTATGTACACTGGGTCACCCCACACCCCATACGGACCGTCGCTATTAGTTATTCTGTGTTTTTATTTAAGTATAGCAATATAATATATTACAGATCAATAACCAATATGTTACCTAAATCACATTTTTTAAATTTAAATCCCGGTATTCGAGTTTTGGCCAAATACCTACATAGGTAACTTAAAAATAATTCATATTGTAATTTGATTAGGTATCAAAAAAATATAACATCTCATACACGGTATCTAGGGGCAAGGGGGGGGGGTGGGGGGAGATAATGTACTAGAATGTGTATAAACTTGCGGACCTGCAGTTTGTGTAGTTAAATTTGGCATGCGAACTATAACAGAAATAGAAAACTAAAATAGGTACATATTGTAGTTCACAAAGATTTCTCTAAATGAACGATTTATCAATTATATGCCGTATTATAGATTCTGAGTATAATATATAAGTTCTATGGATTTAGCATATAATATATTTTATATCATCTATGGCAATCGCCAATTGTCGACATTCGTCAGAGACAATCAGCGACGGAAAATGAACATCGTTGGTGCATTGGGGAGGTCAAAATTTAAAATTCCCAGTAATTTTCAAAAGCGCCAAGAAAAACAAAAGAAAAATTAAGGAAAAACGGGTAAAAATTTTTTTATTCAAAATCGATTTTTCACAAAATTGAATTTGGTTTTAGGTGTAACATTAAAACAAACGACCTTAGATACATGACATTTTCACTGGTTGTTCATATTTGCATTTTCTATACACGCTACAATTTCAAAATATTTTAATTTATTTTTAACTGTTTAGGGACATTTTAATTTTCCATTTTTTTTTAGTTCTTTTTCTAAAAATATCAATAAAATTGTATTCGTTGGTTAAAAAAGCTTGAAAATTTAATAGAAGGTTCCTAGTGTATTGTTTCAAAGGCAGATAAAAATATTAAAAATCCTTAGGCACAGTTTTTTTTTAAGCATTTAAAGTTCAAAAATTGACAAAATATGGAAAAATCACGAAAATTTTCAAACTATTTTGACTCTTTTTGAGCTATCTATAGTCATGAGAAAATTATTTTGTAAATTATTTATCAGTTTAAAATTCATAAAGTTCCTTGTCCCAACCCCTTTTTTTTTAAGAATTTGTAGGGAAAAATATAACATCCCCTTATTTATTTATGCATATGACACTCGGCACGAGCTCTTATTTAGATTTAAATTTGACAGAATTAATAGATAAACATATATAGAATATTAGATAAAATATAATAGACTAATAACAATAACAACAACAAATAAAACAAAGCAGACTAAAATATTATAGGACATGTTCTTCAAACATGGTTGTTAGAGTCGAATATCAAGTTCCTCTAGCCATTTGATCGCCATTGGTCCGCAGATGTGTAGAGTTGCTATCCCTCCTTCAAATCTTCTTCTTTGACATTCCTCAACAATATGGCTTGTAGTCTGTATTAGACCGCACTCGCACAACGGGGAATCAGTCATGCCCCATTTGTGTAATTGATAGTTACACCTACCTTGCCCAGTTCTTATTCGGTTTAGGGCCCTCCATTGTGCTCGGCTGAGCTCGAACCCAGGTACTCTGCTATCAGGAACGCTAACTAGGAAATGGTTTCGGACGTTAGTGTTTGTCCATTTGTTTGCCCACATCTCCTCTATTGATTTATTTGACCGTGCCATGCTCCATATAGGTTTTCTGGAACTAAGTCTCTTGGGTGGGTGGTTTGCTATATCTATTTGTACAGGTAAGTCTGGATAGTTGCTCAGTTTCAGTATCATTGACTCAGTCTGGACTTGCCTGCGTAGGTCTGGAGGGGCTATATTAGACACGACCGGCAACCAATCTAGTTGGGTTGATCTCACGGTGCCTGTTATGATTCTCATGGTGTTATTCAACTGTACGTCGACCTTCTTGCAATGCACGCTTCTGGCCCACACAGGGGCACAGTAGTCTGCCACGCTGTACACTAGGGCTAGCCCTAGTGTAACATCCCCTGAACTGGATCTATGGAGTATGGCCTCCGGCGGGAGAATGCATTAGATATTAGAATGTCTATCACAGATAGAAACTACTATGAATTATAATTTATAGTACATATTTGTGATGCCTATAAACTTATGGACTTATTTATTTGGTTAAATTTAGTATGCGATAAATAACTGAAATAGAAAACAAGAATACATTGCAGACCACAATCATTTCTGTAAAAGAACACACGATTTATCAATGGACCGTTTATGTGCTGAGTGTAGAAGTTCTATGGATTTATCATATTAAAAAATATATTTTATATCATCTATGGCAATCGCCAATTGTCGACATTCGTCTGCGACGATTAACAATTCTAATAATTTTAGTGAAAAAAAAAATAATAAGCCATCAATAAGGACAGATAGTTCGTTAAGCCGTATATATTATTATGTAAGTTTTAACACGAATTCGCACATTTCGTTATGTTCAGGTAATTTTCATAAAATATTTCGATAATTTCAAGTTACAGTTCGTAACGAGATGAAGATAGCTGTTTCTTCGGTGGCGTCACGTACTGGACGTTTGCATTGTTGATTATGCACTCTAGCTAGGTTTCACCGGAAGAGTCGATGTTTCAACGTAAGTTTGTTTTCATAATTTCATATTATTTTGGGATTTACGTTTTATTTTTAGGCATTTTTATAATTAAAAACATAGGTAATATAACGTAATGTTGTAGTAGAAGCTGGAAACTGTAGTACCTATTTTCTAATTAATAATCCAATTAATGTAATTTTTTTAATTTTTTTAATTTTAATGTAACATTTATTATGCCTACACAAAACACTTATCTACCAAAAATGAATTTTTCACAAAATTGTTGTTTTAACGATAAATGACAATTTTAGTTCCCTATTATGGTGAATGTATTTAATACAAACAAAAAATTAATGTTTGAAAATACAATTTACTATATTATTATTTACTAAATACAAAGAAACTTAAAAATAAAACTATGATCATTGATTACATACAGAGTACCTATAATATATTATGCATGGAACACGAATGTTTATTTTGACTACCCATCAAACACAAAAAAGAAATAATAACAAAAAAATTAAAAATTAAATACACATCATAGTAAAATCAAAATATTCATCGCTCTGTTTAGAATCTAAAATATAAATTATAGGTACCCGATACAATTAAATTAACATAATATTAAATAATAATTAATAATTTTGTGATCAGCAATATTCGTAGAAAATGTTAGACTTGGAATTTTACAAATCTAGTTGGTATTATGGTAGGCACTGTAAATTTAATGTACTTAGGTACTGTATATCTTCATGTTAACTCTAAAATCCAGGAATCACATTTTCATTTAACGATTTTTAAAATACAATATTATGCTTTTATAAAAATATATGCTTGTACTTCTGATATATATTCACCATATTAATAAATAATTAAATTAACAAACGAAAATAATAATTAAAATAATATTTATATCATATTTAATATTATTATAATTGAAATTCAAAATTATAAACTATTTTGATTTTTGTCATAATATAAAATCTAATGAACAAATATTGTTCCTTAACACGGAACTCTTTTACATAAAAAGTTGCGTTACCTATATGATATCCGTGGATTCGTCATATTGACGTACCTAGTATAATATCTATCATTTATATTCCATGGCAAATCTCAGTCATTGCAGAGGACACAGTCGTCATTAAAAATTCCAAAATTTCAATAAGCAAAGCAGATATGAGCAAAAAACTTACTGCGTCCCGTATAATTTTATTTTTCATAAATCACAATATTTTAAGTTCTGTATTCTCTGAAGCGTTTCGTCATCGGCGTCACAGTTCTCACACTTTACGGATTCCACCGAAAGAGTCGATAATTAAACTATTAAAGTAAGTTTTTTCATATTCTTTTGGGGCTTAATTTTACTTTCATTTTTTCTAAAATATATGGTAAAAAATAAATCATATTTCGCTATAAAAAAATAATAAAACATAAAGTATTTTAAATTTGATTGGAATAATTTTTTATGATCATAACCACATTGCCTACAGATTATTCAGCATTAGTACAGCAGTATTTTTAGTCATTTTTGCTCAAAAAATTACATTTAAATGTGTCGTCGTGTATTCGTGTGTATAAATTATAATAATATACTCTAAGGGCCGTTCTTACAATGTCTGGGGTAAAGTGTCGATTAACGCTAACCGACTAATAACAGATTTTATTACCTGCAGGATTATACGGGTTATGTGTAGGTTAAATTTAACCGGACATTGTAAGAACGGCCTTAAAAGTTTTATAAATCCACGAACACCTACTATTTTTAAATTACAACAAAATAACTAAAATCGTTATTCTTTGTTTTAATAAGTAATTTCGTCCAAATTTGAACTTATAATGTCTGTAAAAATTAACTGTGTTTTTAATAGATTATTTAGTTTTTTTTTGTTTGAGTATGAACACTCACTATGAACTATTTTTGAGAATTCTTGTTTTACATTTTCAATCCTTAGCAATAAAAGTTGAACATTTTATAAATTTTACTACTAAATAGTAATTTGTAAACTATCAATTTGATAAATTTTGTTAAAAATTGAACTTTAATTTCTTAAAAAAATGGATCTTATATGAATCTTTATTGTTTCTCAATTGCTATTATAACTGCTCATGAGAAAACTTTTATTACATTTTCATATAATACTGTTAATAGTTGTTGAATAACAACAAAATAAGAAAATCGTTATACGAGAATCATACACAAATCATTGTAAAATCAAAATATTCATAGCTCCAGTATTCCACTCTAAAATACAAGCTAACACACAAGCCCGGATTAAGGGGGGGCAAGGGTGGCACGGTTGCCCATTGATTTTGGGGGCCCATCTTTATCCCAAAAATATATTTTTTTAACGCTTTCAATACATTAAAAAAAAAAATATATATATTGAAGTAGGTATAGGTATAGGTAGTAGATAAATTATTATTACTTAATAAATAATAATTATAAAATAAAATTGTTCTCAATTTTATATCATGAAAAATTACTATAAATAATGAACTGTGTTGGTAAACACAATTTTCATTATGTTTTTTTTTCTGAGTATTTTCGATTACTGATTTAACTATTAAGTAGGTATATAGGTAGTTATAAGAAAAAAATATTTAGCTCTTGTAAATTAGGTATTTCAGTTAAAAGTATTAACGCAATACGCATATTATACTAAACTTTCGAGGACCATAGTTAATAAGTAATATATTACGTATTTCCATATAATATATATATATATATATAATATATTGTTGTAATAAAAGGCTAAACGGCTGAAATCTAAATTATAATTTGTTTATCTTATTTTAATGGTTGACTTTTTATTAGGAATAAATGGAAGTGTTAATTTTAAAATAAAAGTGTTCTCTAAATTAGTGGAAGCATAAATGCAATAAGGGGAAAATATACATTTTGGGTTATCAATTATCACTTTTAAATGGCTTGAAACCGATTGAAAAAATATTCTGTTTTATATTCGATTTATACACTGGTTTCCAATTTTTTTCGGTTTTGGTTTTGGATTTAATACCGATTTCCAATTTTTTCCGATTTTGTTTTTGATTTTGTCATCGGTTTCAGTTTTTAAACGGTTTATACTGGTTTCAAAAATCGGTTTCAAGACCTGGACTATTTACGTTCATTTTTAGTTTATTAATTTTTTTGAATCGCTGGATCGAGCGTCCGATCGCTTGTGTAAAGTTAACTTTCAAAAATGTCAAGATAGAAAGATTTTCAAAAAAAAAAAATACCGTTTTTTAAATTATATTTTCGGTTTTTAATTATTATACAGGTATCCAATTTTTTTCGAGTCGGTATTGAATTTAATACCGGTTAAAGTAAATTTTAAATTAAAGGTGGCTTAAAAGTTTTTTGTGATAATGAATAAAAGGAAACTGAGAAAAAAGGGGCGCCAAAATCGTAAATACGCCACTGGTACTATGACGTTAGATTCACTCTGTATATTTTTTGCATAGTAAAAAATTATACAATAATATAAAGTCGTTAATATGTAATAATACAATTATTTTGAAGTTAAAGTTGAAAGGGGGCCCACTAAGTGTATGGTGTCTCGGGGCCCAATTGATCCTTAATCTGGGCTTGCTAACACATAATAGTTAGGTAGGTGTAATACAAATTAAACATTATACATATAAAATATAATATCCGTGACGCTTAGGTCATAAGAATATTGTTGAACATTTTACTACAGGCTGCGTGTTATTTCAGAAATGGCATTTAACTCGTCAGTGAAGATTTTTCAACTGGGAATAATATATCATAACTCATAAGAAGACTAAAATGTGTGACGTTGCAGTATTTCGAAGACTAAGTTTTATAGCAGATTTTGATTCGGACACGGGGTATGTATTTTCTTTTTTTTTTCAGTAGGTTAGTTTTTATTATAGTTAATCGACCAAGGGATATATTATTGCCTACAACTTTTAACCATAGATATATACAACAACTAGATAGCCGTCTCCTTTTTGTCATCGAAGTCGACCCCCCATTTACAAAGCAGGCAATGTTTACAAAATAATATTATCATAGTAAATATGTATCGATAAATATAATATATGTATATAAAAAAATGTAAACATTGCATGCTTTATAAATGGCGGCCGATTTCACCATTGGTCACAACTGTAATATAAAGACGGCTGTCTAGTTGTTGTATATATCTATGGTGATGACATCCCAACCGGGAATTCGGGGGAGGGGGGGTGGCAAAAGGAGCAGTTGCTCCAGGCGGCAGGGACGGCCAAATAATGAAGGGTGGCAAAAAAATGTCGAATGTAATATAATAAAAATAAAATATTTAGT